CTCATTAATATAAATCAGTAACCCAATTAATGAGGGGTTTAGCATATTGATTTGCATCAGATTACAGGAATTAATGACACCCGTAGTGGGAGAATGCAGCAGGACACTGGGAAGATGAACAGCTATGTAGGGGAATTGTATTGCCACAACAGATGAAAGAGGGGCACAGGCACCCCAGATTTCACAATGCGGATGAAGCTGCTCCCACTCAGCTCCTACTTGGCCATCAGGGAGACAGAGGCACTACCTGGCTGTTGAAATGGCTAACAACCCAAGGCAGATTTGACAATGTAAATTTTAAGAGCTGCTTTTAAAATGAAAACTCCTGTTTTAACGGTTGCAGCAGTCTCTGGCTGGGGGTTAAATGGAGATTGGCTTCCAGGGGAGACCACCGAGGGTGGTACAATCCTGCTCTGCTCCTCCTGGGACATGGGGCAAACACAAGAGGATCCACCACAAAGAGCAAAGATTTGGGGAAAAAGCAGCCAGGACAGCAAGGAAACATGGGGCAAAGCTGTACTGAGCAGGCTGGAAGGAGCCCAAAAGTGCAAAGGCCAGTGAAGCAGAGCAGGTTCAGGGAGGAAAAGGATCTCCACCAGCTCCCCACCAGCACCCAGCCTACAGCACACAGATAATAAACAGAGGAAGGCAACACGACACTAGGATATGCCATCAGCATCCTCCACAACCTGCCAGGTTTAGCGAAAGCCTCTTCCCCATGGCTGTCTGCCCTTTCTGCACCTGGCAGGGTCCCCCGCTCTCGCCAGGCTGCCTGGCCCAAGGGACCATGGAAAGGGATGGTCCTCCATCCCAGAGGAGAGGGACAAAGGGACCGGCTGTGCCCAGGATGCCTTCCCCTCCACCCAGGGTGGGCAGCCCCTCCTCGCTCCAGTAGTTATAAAAGGGCTCTCAATCCATGTAATCCATTAGATACAAATTACAGCAATTTAAGCACACTTGACCCAGAATTACAGCAAGCCCATAAAGAGCTGCATCTTCCCAGGCACCTTACACTGTTACAAGCTCTCAAACCACAGCAGAGGATTAAAAAACAACCACCACCACCCAACAAAAAAAGCAAACCAAACGCAGGAAGCATGATGCCTGAAACAGCATTATCAAGAAATTAAAACCATTACTAGGGTTAGTTCACATTCAGGTGGTCCTAAAACCACCAGTATTGTACAGTCTCTAACCAGCATGTGTCTTGCATGTACCTTAAACTGTTAAATCACAGCCACTTCAAAGAAGATGCCATGAACACAGCACTACGTAACCATTTGGGATGGGGACTGCAACCCCCAGCCCAGAGGACAGAGGCAGGAGGGACAGTGCTGACCCAGCTGCTCGCCCTCCCGGGGTGGCTCTGGCTGTGAGTCCCCCCCCACAGCAGCTCAGGTTAACACAGACCCCCACCAACCAGGAGGGGACTGCAATGTTCCTGCATCAATCTTCACCCTCCTCTGTGTAGTTTTTTTTATTTATTTTTAAGTTACTACTAGTCCTAGACAGCATCCCAAGGAAGAAAAGCAGCAGAGGACAGCCTACCCTCCAGCCAGCCCTGCAGGCGCTGCAGTGTGAGCTTATGGACCACTGTAGGCAGGTGGCCACTGGCCATCACATCAGGCAGAGACTTGAGGCAGCAACACTCTGCAGTTACCCTAGATACTCAGCCTGGCTTACGTGGGAAAATAAAGCCATCAGCATTAAAAAAACCCATGCAAGTTATTGTCTTCCAACATTCAGAAATAGATTTATCCCAGCTTGGGTTCCCTGCAGCAGCCATACCCACCAGCTTCCACACACACAATCCTTGGTCCTCGGCGTCCCCAAGATGCTCCAGGACTGTCTGTGCCGGCAGGACCTGGGTGTCTGCCGCTGCTGGTTGTGGTATGGATTTTCCCAGGGACAAGAAGAAACACCACGGTTTTGTGCTGGCAAGTGAAGGGTTTGAGCAGGGCAGCAGCCTCTGCCACCAAGGACACTGCCACATCCAGACTGTGCTAAGGTAGGAGGGAAGAGGGTGGCTTTGGGGGGGAAGGTGACAAACAGGGCCAGCAATTACTGTGGGACACACGATAATTAAAAGCATCTAAACAGACGGAAGGGATTTTTATATGCCTTGCTCTGAAATGTCCAACACCAGATGCTATCATGAGAAAAGAAGCCAGGATGACACCAGAGGTCTTGCCTGGTCCAGCAAGACTTACATCCAGCTAAAGCAACTGGAGAATGGCGATGGAAACTTCAGCACCATTCGGTCTAAGAAATGATCAATGTACTGAGAGGTTACATCTTCCAAAATGAAAATACCAGCTTGTCCACGAGGACAAAAGCCAGGTTGGCTGAGCCAGGGGGCAGGAACAGGACCCTGCCCCGGGGGTGCAGGAGGACTCCTCTCGCTGCCCTGGTCATTTGTCCCAACTTAGGGCCACGCCACCCATCACAGGACAAAACGAGAGGCTCCGATTACCGCAGTCCCATTATGTGCTCTTCTTTGTCCCCTTCATTGCCACCAGAAGCGTCAGCAGGGAGGCTGGTCGGCTGGCGGAACCCAGAGCAGCCCGTATGCGCACATCACCTGCGAGGCTGTCGCAGCCCGGAGCCGGACACGTTTCAGGAGAGGCACAGAGCTGTTCAAGTGCGTCCTTTCAAGGGCTGTATTTTTTTAATTCCAGCTCTTTGGGAGACAGCACATCACGCGCTGCCAAGAACACCACCTTTCTGGTTCATTTTGCATTTGAAGTTCGTTACCAATTCCATTAATCGTAATTATTAAATCTACGTATGGGAATTTTTCTTTAAATCATGCTAACGGCAATGGTTATGTGAAAAAAAAACAAAAACTTGAAGGAAGGGAGTACACGCCTTCCTCGAAGTCAGCAGCATACCTCCTCCCTACCCATATGGTTTAGTTTACAAGCTCATGTCAGAGAGCCAATTTCACACACAAACACAAAATAAAAGCAGGAACACAACTTTTGATCATCCTACATTGATGTTTACTCTTGTTTCCTGTAGCCCCAGGTGACAAATCTGTCCTTTATATAGCAGAGGTTCATTGTGCTATTAACAAAGTCAACTGGACACGCTTAAAACTCACGGCAGGTCTTTGCATTGCTGACTTGTACCAAACTAAGGAATAATAATTAGTAAGCAATTAGTTGTAAAACGATAAATATAAATTCAGAAACGTTTTTTCTGAGCAGAAACACTTGAAAGCAGGAGAATTTACAAGCAACTTTCTTACATATGAACACTTACGCCAAGAAGGGAGATGTTGGAGAAGTCAGCCCCTCTGAACACAAGGGCTTTTGTTCCACCATTCTCTGAGCTCTGAAGAAGTTTAATTTTTTTACTTTTTTTTTTTTTCTTCTTCATTTAACTTTGCTGGCCTGCCAGCTGGGTATAAGCCAGAAGGGTTATCCAGTCAGACCTTACTGTGATATATTTACAATGGTAGTGCATCTAAGGTTTGTTTATTTCGGGATCAAAATTCAAATGGCTAGAACCATTTAAATAATTAAAGGGCAATCAGAAAATGCCATGAAACCAAACAAATCAGGAAAAGTCATGGAAACCATCAGCAATATTTAATTCAGAAATTCTCTTTGTTAGGGAACTTAGCTGAAAGAAAACAGCTGGATGTAGTTCAACCCTCTAAATTAAAAACAATCTAACAAGGTCTATAGGGATAACTCTTTCAGCTACATATTGGAGACCAGATTCACTTCTACCAAGTAAATGTAATAGCACTCAAAGCTAGAAAGGAAATTCCTCAGCACTGAGGTAGTTTCTAAGTATCAGCACATTTTCCAATTCCTTGCAAGGCAACTTAGCTATTTACAATCCATTTTTTCCCACACATAAATTTATAACTTTTTCAATTTTATGGTTCCATGATTTATTTTCTAAAGAAAAATAATCTAGCCAGAATATCCCTAACTCTACTAACATCATGTTTTAATAAATAACTGGCTACTTCTAGTAAAATTAAGCCTCCAGGATTGTTTATACCAGCCAAGAATACTCCATCTTTATAGCTTTGCAGAAATTTGGTGTGAAAATAAAAGTTGAGTATAACGCTGACCCTGAGCTAACAAGTAATTAATGCTTCAATATAAAAATAGAAAATTATCCTTACAACACAAAGGTGGAATAGAGCAAATCCTCTCTCTCTGGATTGCTCTCCTGGCCAGATCCCGGCATCCAGCCAGACCTAAAGGCTACCTAAAGCAGGAGGAGACATGCAGAATAATTTTGAGTCTTTCCAAAGACTTTGTTTTCCCTAAACTCTTTTAAAAATTATTTCATCTCTTTTCTTAAAAATATACATTTCTTTTATTAATGAGTTGCCGCTCACCACGGCACTGTTCCAACTGCAAAAGCACAGGTAGAGAGAGAAGGGTGTCTCGGGTGGTGCCGAAAAGCTACGGTCACTGGGATCAGCTCTCAGGAGACCAACTACACCGAAAAGGAGGTGTCTTCAGCCCTGCCAGCTCCTGCCTGCTCCTACTCCGACCTGCCTACAACAGTGCCGCGGGGCACTGCCCGCCTGCTCCTTCCCTTTTGCCTCCCATCTGAGAGGAAACAAAACTCTTGCAAAAACAAACCAGACACCTCCCCGCCCTCCCTTCCCACAAAGTATGCCTTAAAAACAACAAAAAAAAACAAATTTAAAAATTAATCCAGCATTCATCTAACAAATTTGCAGACACGACACATGTTGGCATTTGGATCTGGGAGACGACAAGTTGCTTCCAACTGAACAAGTTTAATGCCTTATTCCCACGGGGGATGCACGTCAGGAACTGACCTACAGGAGTTACAGCTAATTGCAAGGATCCTGGGGAACAAATGACAACTCTTCTTAGTGTCTGCAGAACTGGAATTCTCTGTAGTCTCTTCCAATTTAACCCAACCTCCCGTAAAGAAAGTACAACCCGCTCCTGGCATTAACGCCCTATGCAAACGGGGCACTTGGCACACTGACCAGCTCTGCCTTCACCTGTTTTACCGTGTAATAAAGACAAATTACTTCCACTTCTTTCCAGATAAGGCAACTAACATAATGTGGATAAATGGGAAGTTAACTACATGAAACATGTTTTCTGCTTGTTGGGCAATTATTTTTTTCCCCATAAGATAACATGATAAATAAAATCTGCTTCTGTACAGATATTTCTCATTTCAGAAACACATACTTGTTACAGGCCAAGAGAAGACCCTGGGGTTTTTTTTTGTTTTTTTCTTTGTAAGAAACATGGTAAAATAAAAAAAGGAAAAAAAAAAAGAAAAAAAAGGAAAGTGATAAAGACTCAAATGAGCTAACTACAGGCTTGTATATACATTTTTGTTATCCACCTCTAGCACGGACTCTTTGTGAACGGGACAGACTGGTAGTCCCCGCTCCTGTTATTCCCAGAATAGCAAGGGAAAAAAAAAATCAGTATCTTAAAACCAGTGGCAACATAGTAAAAACTGTACACTGTTGTCCATTAACTTAAAAAGCAAAGTCCCTAGATGGTATAAAAGTGAAAGCAGGTGCCTTCTAATTTTGATAATAAAAGTCTTTTCCCCCCCCGCTATGCTGCACAATTATCTCCATTGTCTTTGTACGGCCATGAACAAAACGCTAAGGAGCAAGGCTGCTTGTGATAAACTGCTCCTGGTAGCGGCAGAAGTGTTCACGTTCTTATCGCTCTTGTTGGAGTTCCCAGTGACTTCGGTGGCATTGAACTCGAACTCCGGTGAGCACTGCTGGAGCTCGCAGCCGCTGCCGCTCTCCTCCCCGCTGCTCTCCTCACCTGCGGGAGACAAACAGACCTGCTGTCCTCCTCTGCCGCCTGCAGCGCGAGGCGTCACTTGCGGAAGGCAGCGGGGCGAGGGGGGGAAGAGCAAGTGTGGGGATGTATCGACATTTATGGGATGTAAGCATGTGTCCTCTGGTTAATGCGACTTCTGCGTGCCGTTTGACAGATCCATCCGTGCTGGCGGATGAAAAGCTGGACGTGAGCTGGCAATGTGTGCTCACAGCCCAGAAAGCCAACCGTACCCTGGGCTGCATCCAAAGCAGGTCAAGGGAGGGGATTCTCCCCCTCTACTCTGCCCTGGTGAGACCCCCCTGCAGTACTGCCTTCAGCTCTGGGGTCCTCAGCACAAGAAGGACATGGACCTGCTGGAGCCACGAAGATGATCTGAGGGCTGGAGCACCTCTCCTGTGAAGACAGGCTGGGAGAGTTGGGGTTGTGCTGCCTGGAGAAGAGAAGGCTCCGAGGACACCTTACTGGGGCCTTTCAATACTTACAGGGGCTTATAAGAAAGATGGGAACAGACTTTTTAGTAGGGCTCATAGTGATAGGACAAGGGGTAATGGTTTTAAACTAAAAGAGGGAAGATTTAGACTAGATATAGGGAAGAAATTTTTTACAATGAGGGTGGTGAAACACTGGCACAGGTTGCCCAGAGAGATGGTCGATGCCCCATCCCTGGAAACATTCAAGGTCAGGTTGGATGGGGTCCTGAGCGACCTGATCGACTTGAAGATGTCCCTGCTCACTGCAGGGGGGGGTTGGACTCGATGACCTTTAAAGGTCCCTTCCAGCCCAAACCATTCTATGGGCACAACCCTCCTTGCACAGCCTGTCAGAGATGCCAGTTCCCACTCCCTTTACTAACACACTTACCCAGCTACCCCATATTAGTATGAAATCCAATTAAAAAGGGAAAAAGAAAAAGCTAAAGGTAAACAGCAAACGTACTTATGTCAATGAAGTCGACATCGTTCCCACTGTACGCATTCTTCAGCTTGTTGGTCATCACCCGCAGAGCCATGATTTGCCGGCGAATCACCATGTCTGGCTTGGTAATATCAACTTCTACCTCCGGGTTATTTACTTGACTTGCTAAGCCATTTCCAGTCACCGCAAAGTCGTACCTGAAAAGAAACCGTTCCTGCTGGTACCGGAGCTGCTGCTCGGTGGGATCCCACGCCGAAGGGCGACAGCGTGGAAACTCGGTGATGCCACCCCTGTTTCCAGCCTGGGTGATATTCTGAGCCCAATGTGATCTTCCCATGTGCTAACCCTCACAAAGCCTTTCTCCGGCTTCTTACCCCATCTCCCCTCCCTGCAATGTGAGCAGCATGTGGAATTAAACATTGTTTTCATACACCCTGTGCCACAAAGGCAGGGGAAAGATGATTTTCTCCCCAACTTGAAAAGAAAAGGAAGATCTGGGGTTTATAATAATAATGGCTTACAACAGCATAAATCAGCTTGCTGCAGGCAACAGAGCAAAACAAGCTGCTGAGATGCCCTGATGCCCAGTTAGATGACATTTTGGGAAAACAACCTTTGGTACCATAGTTATCCCAGAGAAACCTGTAGTAACTGTTGGAGGCAAAAGTGTCATTCTGGCTTTGCATAATGCAATTTAACTATCAAACTGGGGTATTAAATGTGTACTTCTCACTGCGCAGACATGAGATGCAGTTTCCCTAATAACCCCAGCAGGAGAAACATCTGTGATGTTGAAGATGAGATAACACAACCCCACACACTGAAGCGGAGAAGAGCCAAGCTGCTCAGCCTGAGGAGGTGTGCATGCTCAGGTCTGAACACACGTATGGCCCCTTGGCTTAAAGGAGAGACTGAGTGACAAAACCCAACAGAATATGTCTCCTGAAACAGGTATTGGGAGTACCATTTTACAGAGCAGGGATATGACACTTTTTTCCCCCTCCTCCAATTACCTGATTTGCAAGAAAACTCACTGTTTAACAGAAGAAAACATTACTTTTCTTAGTTACGATGATGACATTAGTATCACGAGAGAGAGAAAAAAGCCTTCAGCACAATCTACTGATCCTGGAGACCAGGCAGTGAGATATAAAGGCATGAAGGACGTGCTCAAACCCTGTCCTGTGTATGCAAGGGTTAATTATTATGACGATGATTATTATTACTACTGTTGTTGGTTTTGTTATTATTTGTGATCAACATTATGAAACTGGTAAGAGGTTTAAGTCCATGCAGCGATGTTGGATCTGGGTATCTAGACTCAGTTCGCTCCTTTAAAACAAACCACAAGGTAGAGTTTGGACAACCCTTCAGCTTTGCGTTCAAGCTCTCCCATCTACAAAAAAAAAGGGGTAACAGCAGCAGCCTGTCTCAGGGGAGCTGGGGTCACTCCTGTAGGAAAAGAGGGCTCGGGGAGGGAGGTCGGCACACTGGGAAAGGTTGGGGCAAGAGGGAGAGAGTTAACCGGGAGTAGTAGCATTGCCAAACCTGCTTTTGGCGCTCCCGTTCCAGCACTCGTTCTCATTGACAGTGCCTACGGACATCTTTTCATCATTGCAAATGTTGCCAGGTAGAGATGACCAAAATTTTTTGGCTTGCTTAAGCTTCTCTTTCACATCAGTAACCTATTAAATAGAAGGAAAAAAAAAAAAAAAAAAAAAAAGAAACACAGGACATAATCCAGAATACCAAACGCTCATTAAAAGTGAAGCTGGAAAGGTATTTTTTTATCACAACAGACGTGGATAGGCCAGATCCTCAGGCTGCATGTTTTGATGGTTGATTTACTTTTTTAATACAAAATTAAACACCGCTCCTCAAACACATATTACTCATACGCCAAGCCTTTAAAACAGGCGCTTTTCTGACAGAGAAGCGTTGAGGTAATTCATGTCTAGAGCCATGGGCAGATTACACCCCTCAGAGAGTTTAAGACAGCCAAGGAATATTAAGAAACCCTATAAATTACAAATGGAAAATTATACTCTGCGGTACATGGGTGCGAAGCGCCTGCGTGGCACCAGCAAGACCAGGCACTCACCAGTCGGTCCAAGCTCGGGCCAGCGGCCGTAGTTGGCCGCTCCTCCGGGTTGTAGGGTCTGAAACGAGCGCTGAAACCACTTTCGGAGACAGAGCGAGCAGTCCGGCCCTGGGCAAGCGTTTTTGGCTGGCCACATCCCTGGAAAACCTACATGAGAAAAGGAAAGGGTTTTATGAAATAATACACCGGCTCTATATATACTCGAAAGGGCATTAAAGAAAAAACATATTGATGAGAGTTGGGAAATAAAACACACTGGATAAATAAAGCCCAAGTGTCCTCTTGGCCCATTTACCTTCTGAGACACCTGCATGCTGTTCTCCTGCATGTTCATGATCGCATCTGAAATTTTCACATCAATGGGGTCCATGACTGACTCGATGTTGAAGGGACCCTCCAGCCTCTCTGCTACCAGCAGCATCGAATCTAACACAAAGAGAGAAACAAAGGCTTTTAAAAGAGGAACTTCAAGAATAACAGATAACAAGGATAAGAGACTAAGCACACAGACATTAACCACCGCAATGTCATTTCTGACCAGCATACATCTCCAGGAAACATTTTGCTCCATTCCCAGAGCCTACAGCTTCACCAGGCTCTTACAGACTGCCAGCACCAAGCCACAGGCTCATATACATCAAAAGCCACGTTAAATGACGGAGAGCCGACACAGACTGCCAACAGGCAGCCTGTAATCAGCTCCTCCCATTAGAACTCCCATTACTAACACCCTCCTCTCTGTGCTCGTTTATTAAAGGTTGCCTTGTGTCATTTGTTTTTCAAGACTGCTTTCAAAGCCACTCGCTTCCTCATGCTGGTCCTGAACACAAGACAACAAGGCGAAAGGGCCCAAGATGATCATCGCTACCATCTCTCCCTTACGGAAAGCTACAGGCTTTGCCGTGCCTGGGAATGCCAAGGCATTGCACCTTCTGGCATTACATGGACAATTTGCACGAGGCAGACTGCACGAGACCAGGGTGAACGCTGTGCACTAATGATCTATTTGGCACATCTCTAGGCAAGGGGAGATGGAAAAGTCCCTCAGTTAACATCAGGTCACTCTTCCTGTGCCAACATGCACGTCCTCATCAAATACATCATTAAACACAGCAGTTACCAAATGGGAAAGTATTATTGGCATTAAGGCTTTCACCTTGCATTGCATTTAAACCATCTCTCTGGTTCTCCCCCAGAAGGTGCCTCCACGTACACACCTGGTGCTATGCACTCATCTCTTCTCACCCATCACAACCTTTATTTAATGTTAGTTTTCACTCAGGTCCCTCAATCCCAAAGCACCCCATTTGCTCGTCTCCTCTCCTGCATCACTTTGTGATGCTCTGCCACAAATTCATAATTTTCCAGTTGCATTTAATTCTTCAATTTTTCCTAGCCTGCATGACGTGGGAGGCCAGGACACAACAGCCCCTCCAGCCCCGAGGAAACCCTCTCCGAGGAGCTCCTCCCCACTCCCAAGGATACGCCTGTTCCCTTCCATTACGGGGAAACGGGCGTTTCACAGTCAGTCTATGAATTTCTCTTGCAAAGGGTTTCTCATGACATTCATCCTTCTCCTAAGCGCAGAAGGTACTTTCAACAAGCAGGAGACTTCTGTGGGCTCCAGCTCCCTGTTAAAGCCCTATAAAGATACAGCACATACTGAACAATTTAGTAATAGCTCTGCCTTAGTGTCGTTTAACATGACTTGGGCACTAAAAAAAACCACAAACTGATGATAAATATACAATTAAGCTACTCCTGTATTTAAATTTAAATATAATAATAATAATAATAAAAAATAATCCAACATCAAAACCCCCACATGAACTGCACAGCCTTCCTAGCCTGTAAATCCACTTTTTAAAGACAAGTCAGTATTCTAAAGATTTGCTGGGTGTTAGTTAAAGGTCTATCAGTCAATCAACCCATCCCAAAAACCACATCAGCTGGGACTCACACAGCTCCGCCAAGGTGCCGGTGTTTAGGGAGTGAACCCTGGGGGGGGCTGGAGCCCCCAGGAAAGCCCCTCGCCCCACAGGCACACACCACCAGCATCAGTGACGGAGATGTGGAAGGGTATGGCTGGAATTTAGCCATCAGGGACTACAAACAGGTCTGAACTAAATGCATTTTAAAAAAAAAAAAAAAGGAAAAAGAAGGTAATAACAAATGAAACAAAGAGTCTTAGACTGTATTGTGGTGGGCTCTAATAAAGTGATGCTTCAAATCTCTGAGTAATGACTGCTAGCATGAATATACCATTGTGCCGGAGGGGAGAAAAATGCTTTTGATGTGCTACCAAATGGAGACTTTTGTAAACAAGTGGAGCACAACTTAAATGTGTTCATCATTGTCAAAGCTTTTGGGGTTTTTCACGCGCATAAAGAACTTCCTGGCGCAGTTTCCAGGAAGCCGCTCATTTCATATAAAAATATTATGAAGAGACAGATAATAAAACACACAAAATGCATAGGGTTTGTTTGTGGTTTTTTTTTTTTCTTTCCTTAAAAATCATTCCATTTTGTAACTACTTAATTCTCTGAGTGGCCAGGAAAGGCCGCAGATCAATAAAGTGTTTGTGAAAGACTGAAAGGAAACATAAACCCCAATTCTTCTGGCTGTTTGGCGTCTTTGTAAACTTTGAGCCGGGCAGGCCATCCACAAGACCATGGGAATGTAGAGCGAATTGGGTCCTTTGTTAGCAGGGGTGCCATGGCGTTACATGTATCACAGCCCAGGAATGCAGCCCCCGCTTTGACTGCCGATAGAGAAAATGCATTCGGCCTCCAGCAGAGCTGCCAAAGCTGGCGAGAAAAGATAAGGAAAGTAATAATTGCCCTTGGAGAATATATTCAACTGGAGCTCTTCAGGAGCTGGATTGATACTGGTGAGGAGCGCTAAATGAAATCAACTTTCATGAAAAAGGAGGGGGGGGCGCGGGAATAAGGGGGGGGAGGGGGATCTACCTCATTCACAAATTTTGATTTTTGGAGGCATCCTGCAAACTTTTACCTCCCACCAGGAGCTGGCTGGTGTCCCCACCGGCAGTCGCAGCGAGCAGCGATTCCCTCCGGCAGCCAGGCTTGACAATAAGGTTGGCTGGGGTTCAAGATAACGCTAGCATCACCGCACGTCGAGAGGGGAGGCACACCGCACTAACGCCAGAAACGAAGCTTCGCTGGAACTCATCGTCCAAAAAGATTTTCCATTACTGGGAGAAAGGAGTTGATTATAAATATCAATTATTTTGCCCCAGAGCTGGTGCAAAATAATTGATATTTATAAGCCACGGCGAGGTGGCTCAGATCTGCTTCACAAAAAAAAAATAAAGTCTGGCAGAGTGAAAAATGAACCCTGGCCATTTATTTCAAACACACAGCGCGACAAAGGCTGTCTCTCCTCCCTGTGATGGGGAGATAGAAGTGGATTTGGGGGAGAAAAAAAAAAAAACAAAACCACCCAACCCACACCATATAGCAGCATCCCTTAAAGACCCTTTTCCTCCTGCATACATTTGTCCTTGCTACTGGCATTGAGACAATCCTTGGCGACAAAGCACCTCGCTCTCATGAAGGAAAGCAATTCTTTCGCATTGTGCCACCAATAATCAGAAACCCACATCTTCAGCCTCACTGTCTGACTTGAAGAACAAAAGGCAGTTTTCAGTCTTAACCCCAAGATCTGATTTAAAAGGGGAGGGAAGGAGGGGGAAGACCTTGACCATTCATTAACAACAATCTTTTTTTTTTTAAAGAGGAAAATATTCTTTGCACACAAAGTAGTACTCCAGATGTGTATACGGAGCCTGAATTCAACATCTTTGAGCAGAGTAAATCTTGGGGGGGGTGGTTGGAGGGGATAAATTAAAAAAAAAAATTTCATGAAAAGGCACTGGAGATTAACACTGTTCATTCAGGAGAACTCCAACTCCCCTAATAGCTTGTTTGAAACCCAGTATACCCCTGTCTAATTGGTGTACAACTGTGTCAGGAATAGAGGGCGAAATAATTTAAAGACAGTTAAAGGGGAGAAAAAGAGTACAATTCGGTCATTATTTCATACGCCGCAACTTTCAATGGTACTTTGCAGAAGTGAGGAAGTATAAAGTTCTCGTCTCAAAAAACCTACAAACTTTACATCCCAGAGTGGAAAAGCTTTACATAAGTGACTTACATATAGACCCACTAACACAGGCACATGCATATTTTATACGCACATGCGCCCAAATTCATATATACTTGGAGCATTTGTTGCAAGTTCTTCCACTGAATTCTCTTTAAATTATTTCACTAGGTTAGAAATCTGGTTTTGGCACATAATAAATCATTGCCATAACTTACTACTTAAACCCACGATGCAAAATAGCATTGAACTGATGCAGTTGGGTGGGTTTTTTTTTTTGTTGTGGGTTGGTTTTGGACGGGGGGGGTGTGTGTGTATTTATTTATTTAAACCTTTAAACACACACAGAGGATATTTGCAACATACGCCCTGCCCTGTTTAATTTAATTTGACTCAAGTGGCAAACTGTGACAGAAACCAAGATCTGGAACATAACCAGTTATTAAACTGTCTAAAGAAAGCACAGCTTAAGTTATCAGTATCCGTACTCCACTGCAAGAATCAACCCAGAGTGCAAGAACCAAGCAAATACTGCCAATAAATGTAACAAAGCTTCATACCATACTTAAGTAATGAGCAGGCAAGAAGCCCCTTGGGGAGGAAGCACTGCAAGAAGAAAGCTTTGCTTCCAACCTGGATTCACATTTATTTATTTTGTCTTGTTTAATAATCTTAATTAGCGTATGCAGTCCCTGATCAGTCTCGTGTGACAAGGCTCGCTGGCTTCCCCCGAGGTTCATTTTTAGCTGCATACCACCTACAGCAATTAGCTGCTTGTGCTTTTGTCTGTTTTCTGGCATTATGCCCTTCCCTTTCATGGGATTCCTCTTTTCTACTTGGACTAGATGTTTGCAAGTCTCCTGGCTTTGAGCTATTTCAGCAACAATTGTAGCTGAAATACTTAATATTCTCATGAGAAAGACGGCTGGGAGGAATGGGGAAGGGTGTCAGCCTCCCAGAGAATGACTTGGAAACTCCATTTAGTGTCACATTTAACTCCCTATATGGAATACCTAGGCAAAAAAAGCCTTCTGAAAATAATACCCTGCACACATCCAGTTGGCATGGGCAGCAAAGTGAAAAGTCAGCGCACAAAACATGGGAAAACAAGTTCTAAGATTTAAATCTAGCCTGAAATGCCAATTATCAGCAATTTCCCTTTTTTTAATCTTGCAGCTTAATGAAAGGGAAATTTTATTTTTCCAACAGTCTTTTTTTTTTTTTTTCCCACAAGTGGGCTGGGAAAAGTACAGCAGCCTTGTCAGTGGCGGCAGATACTTTACATGTGCACTTCATCACACATTAACTGGAGCGAAGCGACTGCTCCCAAAGGACGCTTGTTCACAGATAAATCAAGCCTCCCGCAAAAGGAGCACAAATGAAAACATTTAACATTATCTATCGCCCGTGCCCCCAAAACAGAATTGGTAATGCACTGTCAATTCTGTCGAGCATTGACCCAAGGTAGAATTTAACATTTCAGTCCAAATTTCATGTATCAAATAATACTGTTTATAAGCACGGAAAAGAAATAACAAACAGGAGGAAGACTATGGCAAAAGCACTCGCACAGTGTCACGTCAAGCCTATTGACATTTCAAAAGGATGGTGGCCAAGCGCCAAATGAGCTGTTTAAAAACAGATTCAGACATATGTCCCACTCAATTTTTTAATGTAAAATACAGGCCTACAGCTTTTCCCAAAGCTCACCGCAGCTGGCAGGGAGACTCCCAGGCTGCTGAACAAGAAAACTGGCTTCGGGAAGGACAGCTGTATAGTGACAACGATGTCTAAGGAGTAGTATGGAAAAAACAGCTTGCACACATGCTTGGTCCAGCAAGAAGAGACACTCGAAGCCTACAGGCACATGGCAGCTCCATCCTCCTAATGCTTGCTGCAACAGAGGTCACTGGCACAACAAGAGTCTCATTTATTTAGAAATTAACACGAACGGCAAAAAGTGTGCTGTATAGAGAGGTGTGGAAGGAAAAGATACTCATCACGGACACCTAAAAAACCTGCTACAGCTCGGTACAGCCACTCACAGAAGCCATTCAGGTGAGGGACACAATATCAGTATATGCTCACAGGCAGACAGGCAGTTTTAATCCGTATTGTCTTACCCATAAAGATATTCCACTCGGCATCCAAGTCCCCTTGGTTGGCCAAGCAGCCTCTCATGACGTTAAAGCAGTAGTTGTAACAGGGCTTCACCGATACCAGACCTCGGCAGTACGGGCAATACATCATTTTCAGCAGCGCTCGCGTACCCTGTGGCGTGGGGTTCACCTTTAAAAAAAGAAAAAGGGGAAGGGAGAAGAAGATTAGCCCTCAGTCACCAAAGCAAAAAAACCCACATGTTTCCCCCAGGGTGGGCAGGAACAGAGCTGTGCAGAGGAGATGCAATGGGGCCAGACGCCACTGCCCGGTCAGAGATCCCTGCTCACATGGTCCAGGGATTTGGTGAGCAGATGAAGGAGTTTGGCTCACCTCCTTGGGTGTACCTGCTGCTCCAGGGGGCACGGATGGTCCCCATCTCTGTAAAACATTATCTATGCTGCAATACACCTTGTGTGTTGTGGGACCCCTCCCTGGGCTGCAAGGACAGGCACTCTGAGGGGACAGGCAGCACTTGAGCTCAGGGACAGCGGTAAAAAGCGACCAAGCCAAAAGGCGTAACGCAAGGCTGCGCTATCCAAGCCCTGCTGCAAACACACGCTGGAGATGACGATGCTGGGATTTCTCGGGGAAAAAGCGTCCGAGATGGGATGCCTGCCGTTATCCCCGCACCAAACCCACCAGGAGCGTGCCCTCCTCCTCCACGGCGCTGCGGCTCGGCTCTTCCCGGACAATCGCCCAGCAGGGCTCTCCGGCAGAAAGACCAGCTCCTTTATCTTACATTCAACTCCTGCAACACAGCATTTACATGACAGATACCCGGGTTCATTTATACTCAGCACTCATCACGCTAAATAACATCGTTCCCCACACCCGGAGGAGGTGGCAGATACAGCTCTGCAGTTGAGGACAAGCCAGGAGGGACCCTCGAAGCCAATGTGCCGGGCGTGCAAGCGGAGCTATCTGTAGCAGGCACGTCACCCCCTGAGTCTTCAACAGGGCTATTTTCCAAAGTGACTCATGGTCATTCATGTTTGATTCACTCTCTGGCCCAGCTTCAAAACATTCACTGAAACTATTTCCACCCAGCCGGTCTGAGGAGCATCAGCTCCAGCACCACGTACTAGCGCCGGCCACGTGGTGGGTCCCTCAAAACCACCGAACACAGAAACTCCCTCAAGAGCAAGTTTAAATGTTAATTAGCCACACATGAAAATGGAAAATTAAGATGCGATCAGAGATACACTGACAAAATAGAAGTGGTCTCCGGTGCTTTAAGCAATGCGCTTGAGACTTCTTATAAGGCATTTATGGAGAGTGCTCTAAACAGGTTACGATCCAAGAGCGTGCTGAAGGAAGACGCACACACAGCCCCAAGGAAGAGAGAAGTCATTCAATACAAATGGCTGGAGATGTGGATGGTCTCCACATCTCACCTGCTGGAGGTCTGGAAACCAACTTCATGGCAGAGAGGATGACAGGACTGAATGGAGATGAACGTACACGAGGGAGACCTGGTACCACGCATACACCGAGGACCTTACTATTGCAAAGCCCATCTGAGCACAAGGGCTATGGAGAAACCGAACGTGATCTTCTGGTGCGAAAACTAGTTGGCAGCACGTGAAAATAGGAGGCAACAGATTTTAACAAAAACAAACCAGAAAACAACAAAAAAAACCCCCACTACATAATCAGGCTGGTTTTGCTAAGAACATCAGCAGATTTTTAAACTCTCTTTTCTTACAAAAAGGGATGACAGCCAAAAATCCATTATGTTTCTGATGACTCCAGAAAGACCACAGTTTCTTTTCTGTAGGCAAGGAAACTGGTTAGAAAGACAGAAGGACAATTTTCTGCAGCTGATGGAGCTCAGTGCTGGATTTTGGCTGGCCAGCAACATTCATTCAGACATCACTTCACCCCTCTTTTGTCATCTTTACCCCTCTTTTGTCTGGGTAAGAGCCTGTTTGGCTGAGCAAAAGGAGACTCAATGTAGAAAGCTGTTTGTGGTGGAGGAGGAATCTGATTCAGGCACTTCAGAGCATATATATACACACACACATATATATATATATTTGGAAGGCACAGCGGGAGCAGGAGCCCCAGCAGAAAGCTCCCTATCGAGGCAGCATAGCTTTAAAGCAGAGCTAGTTCAAACACCGGGAAGAGCTGAAGCAACAGAAACCAACTAAATCAGATGATTTATAGTTGGAAAACTGAAAACAGACAAATGTAAAGGTATCATCTGCAATCCAGATGGTGCAGTCCTTGCATAACAAAAAAGTTGCAGGGGAGAAAAGGGAACTAAGTAACATCTCGCACCCAGAGACAGTGCCCTGAAGGATGCCCCAGTTTAGTAGTTTAGTTGTTTCTTTGATAAAAATCCCTTCCTATGTCACTCGGTGGTAAGTGCCAGGACCTCCACACCTAGTCCTGAGGCTTATCAGCAGATGCCGGCCACGCTAGCACTGCTGGCTCTTAAAGAAGTGCTCTGTGTCCTCCTCGGGAAGAAAATTAGGAAAATGTTGATAGCACCAGCCAGGTGCTAGAGTAGTTTGAAGCAGGAGACTTCCTCAACCCTATCATGGAAAGCTACAGCTTTATGAAAGGGATTGCACGGCAGTGCGTTGCAAAAAACCACTTGCGCAGCAGTGACCCAGGAGGCACCTTACCATCTTAGGTTCCCGGCTCACCCCAGAACGCCTGCAATCCTGCAGCATCCCCCTGCGTTGATATTTCATAGAGGCTGATCTTTATCAGTCCTAGCAGATGCAGGGGAAACTGAAGCCGCTTTTCCGCGTTCCACGGTGGACGACATGGGATGGTGACTTGGATTAGGTCCTTTAAACAAAAACCCAGGATGACTTTAAAGGCAAATGAGGTTTTGCTTCCTTCCCCACATAGTTGTGCGGCTCCAAGTCCTACACAGAGCTGAGCAGAGGGTGATGGCAAAGGAGGCAACGAAAAGACAAACCCCAGCCTGCAGCTTTTTCCGAGCCCTAACTAGCGATGGACGTAACCCGCGGGGAAGCTGTTAGTTTGCAATGCAGCTGCAGCCGAAGAGGAAGACAAAAGGGAAATTCATCGGTCAGGATCTGGCATTTTATGGTGTGAGAAAGCAACAGGAAAGGCACAAGCAGAGATCATCTCTAAGAGAGTTTCGGGGAAGATTATGAGCAATTACACCTCATTACAACAGTGATAAATGCTTAACTGCTGCACATCGCTGCAATGAGAACCTTAACCCTTGGCAAGGGGCCCGTACCCAGTCCAGACTAACTCTGGATCTGTCAGTGGGATGTGCCATATGTTGCACTGGCAATTCTTCACAAGCTTTTAATGTTCGCTCTGCCACGCCAGGTGCAAGCTCTTAAAACACCATTGTATGTAACAGTAAACCCAGATATGCTTTGTTCTGGGGTTGTGTTTACCTTGGAAAGCAACTCAAGTTCATTCAAACTCTACTCTAGAATGACCCTCAAAACCAAATAATCTCCTTTCTAATCAAGCAGAGTCCCAAATAAAGCTTTATTTGCTGAAGAGGATTTGAGCCCAGGTAGATCTGGCCCCAGGTAGTAGTATGCTGTAGTGTACATACCCTGGAAAAGCTTCTAATAGAAGTCAATGCACTCCAACCCCTTCCTTTCATCTTGTGAAATTTATTTCCTTTCCGTGGCGTTCCACGCCACTGCAGCAATCCATCACCCTGCGGTTTCATCATGTAAATTACAATTTGTCCATATCTATACGCTTTGTCAAACGTGAAGATTAAAAGCTGCTAACAGATGTGTTTTGGCACCAATCTTCACATTCGTATGGAACTTGCTCCTTAAAAATACAGATTTGCACACAATCCACAAAAATAAAGTGAATAGCAAACAATTCTGAGCTTAATTTAAATGTTCCATGTCATACTTGTTAAGATACCCCCCCAATTTGCATTGACTGGTGAAGGTACAATCACGTTCCTGTAAAAACGGCATGCTCGTGGTATAATAAAATCTGGGTTTTGTTGGTACCTTGTCATACCCATTCCCATTTCAGTCTCTCAATAAGGGAAACTATTTGCCTTACCTCCTTAGCCTTTTCCAACTCATTGGCAATTGCATCTGGATGCATACTTCTGGTAGAAACTTCACCATTAAAGTACACATCTATCATGTGAAATGCCTTGTTAACAGCCTACCACAACCACCAAAACTCAAGATAAACTGATCTGTGCAAGCAGATAAAGCTCAGAGAAGCAACCGGTTTCTTTTTCTCCTCCTTCCCGAGGCAAGGAATAGCTGAGGAAGGATGACAGAGCTCCAACCATGGACGGTCCCGCAGGGAGCTCCCACCCTGCCAGACAGCCAGAGCCACATTTTAGTCTCTCACTCTGCCCTCAAGTTAACATTAAGAATGTTAATAACAACATTTAAAATCCTGTCAGCTTTAATAACTATTTATAATAACACTGATAACTCAGGCTTTCTTATTTTCCAAGCTTGCACAACAGCAGCGTTGCCATGCCAGCAGCACAGCCACCAGAAAACATAAAAACCCAACAATTTGAAAATAAGTGCAGTGAAATTACTTTTGATCTATACTGTGTTTTCTTTGCAAAAAAACTGAATTAGGGCAATATTGGATAAGGAATACCGAAGGAGTAACTTCTCACTGACACAGAAAGATGATTTCATGGCTTCACAAACTAACTCCAAAGCTGACTGAAGAACCATGGGATGCTCCAGGTGAGCAGTCCATTTAGGCAAGTGACATGTCATCGATTTCTGGGACCAAGACAATCTTACTTGCATCATTTTTTCCTTCCCTCAGTGTTGAGCAAGAGCACCAACTTGGCACATGCCGGTCCAGACGTTTAGCTGACTGGGAAGCAGATCACTCGGGAGGCTCCTGGTTTGCTTCCCCACCCCAAATATTCCAATGAAAGTGTTTTGGAATTAACTACGCATTTAACCAATTTTACTGGCCCAGTGCTAGCACATGAATATTTTAGAAAGCATCTGGTTCAACCACAGATTTGGGCCTCTGAGGTCTTGCACAAGGGAGCACATTTAAGAGTGATATTTGGGAACCACATGGCTCTGTGCCTCGTCAGTATTTGCTACTCATGGTGATGTCTGCTGCAGCTTTATCTTGTGCGAGGAAAAGTTCAAGAGTACATT